TGGCTGGATAATATTCCATTTTAAGGCTATACTACATTTTGTTTATCCCATCATCAGAAGACAGAGATTTGGGTTGTTTTTGGCTATTATGACTCATGTTGCTAGAAACATTCCTCTACAGGTTTTTGTGTATTTTTTAACTGTCCTACAATGTCAGAGTTGGAATAGATTCACCACACACTGCCTAAACTGGAAACCATCTGATTAGACACATGATGTCTCCTGTGGATTTTTGCAAAAGTCCGTGTCCCTTTTCTCCAATCTAATTTTCTACACTGCATCCCATTTTTATTTTTTTAAATGAATTTGGTCATGTAATTTCAATGCTTACTTTATTGACAGTAAGACAAAGTCAAGATTTTTGGTTAGTAAAGGCTGGCCCTTTACTCATCTCCACAAGGTCTTGCATCCATTTCCTCTAACTTCAGAGGTCTAATTAAGTACCTTATCTGATTCTGCAATCCTTCCAGTATGACTCTAGAAATGTTTGTTTATTCTACACATTTTGGGGCTCCTGAGATGTCTATATTGTTAGAGTGTAAGTAAAATGTGCAGTCACATTATATATAGATATCTTTCCTGATGGAAGCAGACATACTTGTGTTAGTAATCTGGTGGAATAACAGTAACCTTAGCCAGAAATCTAAGGCTTTCGGTTAAAATGAAAGGAATTACTGGGGCTTTTTCCTCTGGATTCTTAAACAAGTAGACCTTTCTAAGGTCTGACTTGAGAAAACAAATGGTTTAGTTAGCCTCTTGTCTTTAAATGTTTCCAGCCTTCTGTTTTACTGCTGAGTAAGAAAGAGCTCCATATCTATGCCTGCATCAGTGTTAAAGGGGAGATTCTCCCTATAAGGATAGTGGTAGCAGCAGCAGTTACTAATGATTCTTTCACGGGAGAGATGACCTTGAAAGAACAAGCGAACAAGTTCAAGGAAGACACTGAATTTTGTTTCATTAAAGGCAGCTAGTTTCCTTAGCTATGCCACTTAATAAACCAGTCTCTTCTAGTGTAAGGTGGAATTCAACTCACTGCTGTGATTCATATGAAAATAGGCCTACTACATGACACTGAAAATATATTTAATAATTCCAACTATTATCTACTGCTAAGGGGACTTCCACACAAAAAAAATTGAAGTGGCTTAAAACCACCATTTCATGGGCCAGAAATCTGGGACAGGATCGCTCAAGTCTTTTGTCTCCAATCCATGTTGCATCAGTTGGGATGACAGGAGCCTAACGGTATTCCCAGGATGGCGCTCTCATTCATGTGGTCTGGTACCTTACTACTCCCGCATCACTCATTGGTCAAGTCACATCCTATAGGGCACTTCATGTGGCTTGACCTTTTTCCGAACACAGGAGTCTGAACGTTGTTATACTTATATATCACTGGTGGCTTCTGTGGGTGTTCAGTAGTAACGGCCAGGGCATTTAAATGCTAGGGCTGGAATTGGCATAGCATCACTTACACTGTCCACCATTGACCAAAACAGCCAAACCAGCCTAGCCCCAAGGAGTAAGGAAACAGACCAACTCTCAATGGGAGTAGTATCAGAAAAATGTATAATTATTTTTAATTGACCATAATTATTAGTTATAAATATACATTTCCTCCTTCCACAAAAATGTCACACAGAATACTCCTAAGCAGTTAACAAATGTTTTATGTGTCTTAGATAAGGATGGAGTACTATTATATTGTACATACAGTAATTTTTATATTTAATAAATGCAAAATTTAAATTTCATATTGAAAAAAGTATGCATTGTATTACTTGTTTTATACAAGTGTTTAATGGCCAACATTTTGAGTTGGAGAAAGCATATACTATGCATTTTATGACACATAGCTGGTGTTAGAAGCATTAATAGTTTATTAGTGCTCGGGGTATCATTGTAGCCTACCTAACACCAATTTCATTTACTAGTCATGAAAGTTGCAGTATATTGGCTTCTGTTATGGATTTAAATTTAGTCACATGGTGAAACAAAGCTCTACCTACATGTTATCACATGCCTGTTCCACTGGCATCTAAGAAATTTAACTCTGGAGTCACGGAAAGAAGCACAAGTATAAATAAAAACCACATGTTAACTGTTAATGTTCATTTACCAAATCCTGCTTAAGCCCTTGTACTCTCAAAGCTCATTTCATCCAATTGCCTTTTAATTATGGCTCTGGCTCAGAGTTCCAAATAGAATGTCTTTTTAATATAGCTTGCACTGTTCTATATCTAATGCAGGATGTAATCATGCAGTTTACTCAGTCACAGCCAGTGCATTAGGTAATTAAAACAGGCACACATGAATGTCTGCACATACATATATGTGGCCTAAAAGTAATATTAAGAATCTGGCAAACCGGCTTTTGGATAGAATTCTGTTTAAGTCTGGTGCCGCCCACCAATGTAGACTGTGGTGGTTATGTGCTGTGGAGTCAGTTCTGACTCATAGCGACCCTGTACACACAGGCTGTACATCTTTAAAGGAGCAGAAAGCCTCATCTTTCTCCCGCGAAACAGCTGGTAGTTACAAACTGCTGACCTTGAGATTTGTATACTGTAGTTACAATGAATTTCAGAAATCATTGCTTGGGAGACCTATACACATCTTACAAATGATGTGGTATTTTCAACAATTCTATTTCAGTCATTGGTAGTCAAGTTAATAATTCTCAACAGAGGTTAATTCTTCATTATTCAAGTCATTGGAAGATGAACAAACCTTCAGTGTCTTCCATCCCTTTTAGAAGAGGAAGACAGGGGGAAAAA